GTATACTCTTGGAAGTCAACCTTCCTCTGTGCAAGGTGCCGTGTGACCCGTCACAATTTACGTTGGATCTCACAAGAATCATGTCTTCAGTTTGATCGAAGCAGTAAGTGAGTACATGTAAAATGAAGTTTGATGTGTTAAGAAACTTTCATACTCGAGCGTAAGAAATTGAGTGGACCGATTTTGGCGATGTTGTCCGAAGCCCTCCATGCTTAGCAAACATTTTTGATACTAATATAAATTATAATGGTATGATCAGGGCCCCCGTACCGCGTGTCATGTAGCCTTTTTCAACTTTCTGTAATCAGGCACGTACTCGGTTATACATTGCTCATTAGCTGTGAAGAAATGAGCGCGTCACAGTAGTGACTACCAAACGAGGAGATCGAGCGCGAGAGTGGGCACATTGTGCGATACCTCCAATAAAAAGGCAATTCCATCATAAATTCACCTTAATTGATAGATGAGACGAGTATTCGAACCGCATTGTCAAATGAGCCCCTTCTGTCGAACCTCCCTACAAAATTGATAAAGTTAACAGCGTAAACAGTGGCTCGTCCTAGACTCAGATACGAACTTATTCTCCGTATGGCTTAGTCAGAACGCCATTAGCTGTGGATCGCCTAACCGCCAAACACATTAGATGCCAAAGCCTACTCTACTAAGAATGATGCATTCAAATAGTAGTATCCCTTTTAGCGTAGACGCGAAGATGCGACAGCTTTGGTACAAGGCATGCTATGGTAACAAAATAGCTTACAAAGATATTGCTATGATCCTTATACAAAACGCCTGAGAGGCGTCTTCAGCGGCGATGCCGACGGTATGTCGCAGTTCACACAGTACGTTTTGACTATAAAAAGCTGTAGGTGCACGTAGTAAAGCTGTAGGTGCATGAAACGCTTTTCAAGTTAAAATATGTTTTACTGCCTTTCTCTTCTGCTGAACTCTGACGTCGCCAAAAGACCTAATGCTGGGACAAAATGGTGGATCTGTGTCGCGTTCTCGATGGTTTGACCCTTTGGGGAAAAAAATGCCGCGGCATAGTGCTACCTAATCCATGACAGATCGATGTGAAACAAACGGTCTGTCTTGGATAGAGGCAGTACATAAAGTTGTAAGAAACTGCATAAAGTCTTAATTGCAATTGATTTCACCATCTTCACGCCATTTAGAGCAACTATGACGTAGGGCTGAGATTATTATTTCCAGATCGGGTCGCACCTATTTTGCTCGGAGCCTTACGTGATTTGTACAGATCGTGCATCATTGAACACAGTGACGTCAGAGAACAACAACATGGTCATCCTACTTAACGAGTATATCTCTGACATACATTACAAGCTCTATCATCAGATGCATTTTTTTGCTTCTTAGATTTCAAAGGTCACCTGACACCACGCATTTTGGTATCATTGCGGTTCAGAGGCCGAGATTCTTTGAGAGAGACGACATGCCGCCACAATCTCATGAAAGTCACCCGCGGGAGGGTTTACTCGCGCCGAGACGGCTTGATGAGCAAGAAATGATCCTATTTAGCATGAAACGTTTCACGGACCGGCGGGTACTCAGGGATGACGCCAGTTCTTGTTAAAGCGGAAGGAACACCCTCAGTCTAAAATCTTGTGGGAGGTTGAAATCTCACTTTAGCGAGATTACCTTTGAGGCGTCGCCCCTTAAGACCTAGCCGGCCACGGTCTCTATCTCTCTCAGAGAAGAGGCAGGATAGATATTGAGGCGCTCCCCACGAGCAAATGAGTGGCGTTCTTTTAACGAGTTTGACTTTTGGTCGGTAGTTATTGCAGGTCTGTCTGCAACGGAGCTCTTCATGTCCGACTGAACGATCAGAGCGGTATCGTGGAATGGCATTAGCCCAAAACTTCCTGGGTGCATTTGAAAGTATAACTGGAACCCTGTTCGCTTTGACCGAGAATAATGTGAGGCCACGCGGTCGCAACTTGGTCACATAGCCCACAGATCTGCATGTGTTGGCTAATCGCGCTCAATGCAACCTTTCACTTAGCAACATTCTTTCATGTGATCGAACCGCATCTGGTTTCGTCGTGTTGGGTGTTGCTTTTGTCTGAAATTTCCACCATAAGTTCGTGCATCCTGCGCATGACATTCACTGTTTCATCAACCACATATTTTGCTACGAAGTATAACAGATTGGTATTGGCACGTCGTCGAATTTGATTAAAACTCTATCTTTATTTAGGTCCAAAGCTTCTTTTTGGAGGTGCCAAAGCCATCCGGGCGTTCATAAGACCAATAAACTAAACAGGGTCAAGTCTTTTAAGCTTTGTATTTCGGGATTCATCACATCATCACAAATGCAATAGTGGAAGTACCAAAACACGATATGTGGAACAAAAGTATCTTCTCCGGTGCGTCACCGTCTTTCCATATATTTGTGGATGGTTAGCGGTCTGTACTTTGAGTGATGTTTACCTTACTTTTCGCTGAAAGCACAGACCACGTTTTATTACCATGGCTACCAGTAGGTTATTTTAGCGAAACATTTTAACGACAAATGACCTAGGCCTCAGCACACCTTTTATCTATCGGTGTTTGCGACGGAATTGTGTCTGCATTTGACTTATGCTAAGCAGGCACAATTTGGCACATGCTCCAAGCGTTTGTCACATAGAATGCCCGCACCGAGTGAGCTAGACTCGCCTCGTACTTGCATAGAATTATGCCTCAATCATGATACAGTGTCTCCTGGTCTGGGCCATTGTGTATGACGCAATTTGAGGTTCTTCGGTGCAATGATACAATCACTGCTCTATAAACAGAAATGCTTATGACCTTTATATGATGTGCGAAATTATATGCATTATATTTATAATCGAATGGCTCACATTGACTCAAAAGCTGAATACCATGTCATAAATGGTGTGCAAATGCTTTTTTTCATACAACTATTAAGATTTTCTTGTTTATTAGCACAATTAACTATGTATAAATAAGGTTCTCGGAATCAAGCAAGAACAATGTCGACAGCTGACCCCCCCCCCTTTTCGTGTTCATTGTACATGCAAAATTTTACGCGAGAAATTATTTTAATTAGTGAATGTTAATCAGTCATACAAATTTGATCGTTACTTCTGAATGCGTGGGATCATTGAGAGTAGTAGTGCTGTACATATCAGGTTTAGTCGAGCAAGTAATACATTCAAGTCACAACAAGACTTTTATGGGACGCCTCCAGCGTTTTTTTCGAATTAGGCCATCGGTGATAAACTGTTTAACACATTTGTTGAGTGTAGCGATCTGTTTAAACACAGGGATATGATTAAGATCTATGAGTCTACAGAATTATAAAAGCATAGGAATGGCTTGGTACATATGCTCTAGCTCGAGTAAAACGTGCTTTTACACGCATTTAATTTAGTGTTTTGCTAATTATAGTTATTCATCGACGTCATCATACTGTGTTGAGATGCGGTTGCGGATAAGTGTGTATTAAAGGGTGAAATATGGAGAGAATAATTCTAGGTCCTTAGCTTGCAAAACTCATTGCATAGTACAAGCTGCTGCTCACCTCTTGTTCATCGAGCTTCAGTGATCGTGTCACATGCACCTTTACTTGACTATATTTTACCCTCTGAAACCTATAACATTCTCTGGGTATCCACTTGAAGCCCTAAGGGTCAAGCTTCGTCCTTAATTCGGACATAACCTTGTGATCCGAACACACGCATATATCCCAGTTCCGGCTTCGGCTTGAAGAAGTTGTGATGTCTGAGCTCGTGTGGTCGTCAAGCAGTTAATTAGGTGCATCTCAGTACTGATTGTTTCTGCCCACGACTCAGAAAATATCCTTCTGTATTGCAGCGTATTCCACGCATTTTTCAAAATGGTACGGATCATTTACTCAGACAATCCGTTTTGTTGAGGGATGTACAGCACGGAGCGCTAATGTAAGATGTAGTTCCTTGCACAGATCTCAGTAATCGTCTTGTTCACGAAGTTCGTCCTGTTCCCGATCGTCAAACTTTAACCGTTTTCCTTAATGGTTTTCGACGAATGCCTTAAACTTGTTCAGCTTGGCGGGCACCTCACTCTTGTACTTCAAGAAGTACGTTTGCACAAATCGCAACAGATCTTTCACAAATGTCAGCACATCGTGCACTACCCTTTGTGACCGTTTTTGTTGGCCCCATCACGTCCGTGTGAACGATCTTCAGCACACAATATGTCTTCGTAAGATTTGAGAAGGAGCTCTTCAACCGTCTGCTCGCCCTTTTCATGCATTTGCCGCCCGCACACCATCTCAAAGTCTTGCTTTACCGTCGGCATTCTGCTAGTCCTTTCTTCCCAGGTGTCCAAGCTAGCGTACCATAGCTCTCACTCACTCTCAATCCCGGCAAACTCCATCAGCTGAGTCCTTCTTGCTCGAAAATTAGAAGGTAGGCTTTACTGACTGTCTTGCCTTTCGCGATTGCACGGCTTGCACTCTCAACAATTGAAGAGAAATTCTGGAACTCTATCTTCATGCCACGTATTGCTACCTTACCAACCGACAGCAACCGTCTGTCGAGTGCAGGAATAAATGCGACCTCAAGCATCTTGATCCGCAAGCTGTCTAGTCCGGTCAGCCTTACGATCCCCTTTCTTGACACGCGCAGCGTTTGGCTGTCTGCAATGGTGACCCCCGTATCAGCGTCCAAAGCTCATAATTAAACCGATCACTTCGTTAAGATATCTTGTACGATGTCGCACCACTAAAGATGAGACACCCAGCACCTCGTTCATTGGCAAATGCAGCACCATCCTCTTCTGCGTTACTCCACTATCGACAGTCCCGCTTGAAATATCTAGCTTGGCCGCACTTGGGGCACTTGCCGTTGAATCCAGTGCAATTCTTCCGTGTGCCGATCAATTTGCGATCGTTGGCATGGGCAACTTTCAAGCGTCCAGTATTCCCCTTGAGTACACGCTTTGTGGCTTTCTTCTTTCGCATTCGTTTAAACTTTTTCAGCAGCTTACCGCGATGAGTGTGACGTCCTTGATACTCTTCACTATCGATAAATAAGCTCGTATTCCAAGAGCAAAATACTCATGAGAATCACGAGTTGGTGAGCCTCTTCGAGCGGCTCCACTGACATCTGTAGTAGCACGAAAAGCTCATCAAAGCTGTCCAGGAGCATCGCCATCTCTGTACCATCCCAAACTTTAAAGGCGGTGGGTCATAGATGCATTATCGAGCAGTTGTAAAAGTCACGTAGAGTGTTTCATGCTATCAGCGCCGTCATGGTCGACCCAATCTTGACGTTGTGCTCGATCGCCACCCCTGGATGATGATGACATGAGTCTTGATGTCGTTAAACACTCAAGCCTCGTACATCTCCATCTCAGGCTTGGCCAACTGTGCATGCACTAGCATACCCTCCCTCACCAGCATCATACGCATGGCAAACTCCCAGATAAAATAGCTTTCTCTATCCAGTAGGGCTTCATTTTTCTTGGTTGGCAGGGTCAGATGCGGTGTCGAGGGTGTTAAGCTGTCGTGTTGTAGTGCTCAGTTGGTAAAATGTGAAATGAATATATTTTCGGTCCTGTGTTTGCAAAACCGCTTGCTACATTTAAGCCTCTCATTTTATAAACTAGATTTATCAAAGTCTTTCAGCGACTGCCGTTCCGTTTGCAATCAATTACCTTACATCACCCGTACTGACATTATACGTAAATATATTCCGTGAGTCATCTGCCTGTCAAACAGGTATTCAGTGATGTATTCCGAACATATTGCTAGTAAACCATACTGGAATTACAGGTTTGGCGTTGGTTATACACATATATACAACAATAGTTATTTGGAAAGCATGGAGGCAATTTGGTACGAGAGTTGAGTAAGAAAGTGGGCTTTACTTGCAGCGAGGCTGCCATAGCTCTTTGCTTAGAGAAAGCGAGGCTTGGGTCGCCGACCTTACGCTCTTTCCAAGGACCAGTACGAGTGTAGCGGATCGCAATCCGCTACCCTTAAGTACTAAAGCTTTAACCAGGGCAAATGAACACTTCTATTCAAAATTGAAACTGAATTTGATTGTTTGAGTTGCGGCAGAGCCGCCAATATCTGAAGCTCTAGGTTTTTCTGACTAATATAGTAATACCTAATTAATATAGCAATATACATTACTGATGGCAATCTTGTTACGATGTAGCCATACCACTGTGTGATTACACTAACTGTGTAAAACACACCTATGTGCGACCCGTTCTTTTTTTACAAAGGTATGTGTAGCCCTGTTACATCACTTCTAATCAAAAAGCTCAAAAAGTGGCGCTACTTTTTACGACTTGATTATTTGAGATCGAAAAGGATGTCAAAGGTACAAAATGCAAACTTCATGTATGCTGAGTATGGTGGATCTGATAGTTAATACTTATGATGACTTCCACAGCGTGGATCGGCGATGTGCAAGAAAGGGATAAAAACAACTCAAAGATAAGTATCCTGCTTTGTATCGAAGTCAAAAATATTACAATGTTACTGAAGGATGGGCGCGAAATCGTGGATTGCACTTACACGAAGCACGTGAACGAACCATTGTCTTTACATCCATTGTAGAAGCTATGCATCTTTGCATACTCTCAAGTCATAATTGTATGCTCTCTAGTTTATAAATATATTACGAGAGCTGTAGACCTTGAGAAGATAACTTCTGGATAATTTATGCTTTTGCAACTTGATCTACTACATTATGTTAAGCAGTGGATCACGTGGAAAATCAAGCAATAGCAGCTCATGGTTATAGCCTTTGAAAAGTAAAAAAGAGAACAAAAAGCCCTCATTATGCTTTCACTATCCAATCTAAAGTATTTATAGAGATATTATAAAAGCTTAGCAATATTCCGCTTTCGTTTTGCTACTCACGCACTTAAATCACCAGCTTAAAACATCACGTTTAAAGCCACGGGATAATCTACAGTAGCAAAGATGACGATGGTAACATGATTTATAACGCGTTGCGAAACAGTTGCCTTCAACACAATAGACACACATGTTATCGTGTGCTCTAACTTTCATTCAAATTCATACCTGTACATCATAGCGAGAGTAAGATATAGTGAACTAATGTAGCGAGGGATGCATACAATGTAGCGCTTCTGCAAATAGATTGAAGCGCATCATATCAAAAGTTGACTTTGCAATCACTGCAAATAAACTGTTATATCAATACAAGAGGGGTGGAACTAAAGATACAGCGTAGTGAGGCGAGCTGGAACCTCACGTGGCCTATGTTGTATTGTAAATGGCGCTTACAACTCGCAACGCGGGTGACGCTTGACTAGTCCAGTACATCAAATTATGTTTTGCAGTGACTTAAGCTCTACTGTCGTCGTCGATTGAGTTATATAGCGAACTTTCTCCGTTCGTTAGACGACCCGGGATATGACTGTCTTGTTGACGGTTTAAGATGAACTTTTTGATCAAATTACTGTGAATAAACATTTTGTTTTGAGTACTTTTGCACAAAAACTATATTACAGGTATACCCACACATTACCGGCTTTCCAATGGGCATAGAATTATGCCTACATTGCATTCATTTTCATTGGCTAAAACGTAATATTTGTACCGAAGATAGGTCTCACATTGGCTGATAAAAGTAAAGCACGACCTTTTATCAATCTTCTATGATCCGTCATGGTGGTAAAAATACCAATGTGCAAGGCACTGCGCCTAACGACAGCTTTTGGCAGCAATATGCACAACCATACTGTACTATTTCAGTATCAATCCTACCGCTAAATTCGAGTATTCGTGTGGCCTGACGAGCTCATTATACGCTAAACTTATTCGGGATTTGATAGTTTTTGATAATTTCAACTTAATTATTTGTGACAAAAGATTAGAACGATTTCTGTGACAGATATTCGTCCTATCAATACATGTTGCTTTCACATATATTTGACATAGAAGCAAAACTCAGGCTATTATTTGAAGTAATGAATTTTGTTGAGATATGATTCCCCCGTGGTATCTTTATGCCGTTGATTTTTATCTACACAGGCTCACGATCAAATTGTATAGTGAAGTATGATTCATTACTTCACATAATTCTTCTTCTTTCGGCTTGAATTTTACTGTTGGATATATCGCAACCTTATTGTGGTCTAGTACTTTTTGATTTTCCTTCTCACTTTCAAATTGTTTTACAGTCAATGCGATGCCTGGAGTCTATCTAGAATCGGGTGCGTACTTGAGAAAAAAATGCCTTAGGGTGTTGATGAAATGACATTTTACATCTGACAAAACCATTTCGAAATATGCCCTAAGCATAGAGTTGTCTAATAGAGTTGTCTAATAGTACAAGGCCAGTACTTTAGAA